TTTTCCTACTCCTTTGATTTTTGGTAGACTACCTTTTAGGCCCAGAATGTTCTTCCTCCTCATCTCTACCTCTTGGAACTTCTATTCTCTTGAAGGTTCAATTCATGTACCACCTTCCTATGGGAAACCTTTTCTCACCTGCCTGGTTAATAGTGCTCACTCACTTCTCAAATTATCCTTCCTCCGCTTATTTGAATAAATGCTATACTTCCCACCTACCCCTCCTTCCCATGGTAGAATTTAAGTTCCTTGAGGGCACAAACTGATTTTCATTTTTATATGTATCCCCAGGATTTAGACCAGTACCTAGCACATAGCAAGACCTTAATAAATTCTTATTGAGTTGAACTGAATTGATAATTCTTTTCTAGTTGTTCCATCAAAAATCAATCAGGAGAAAAGGAATTCTTCAATCAAATGACATTGATTATTCAATTCTGTTTGCCCTTTGATACTGTATAGGTCAGATAATTGACTAAATTCATATTCCAAGTAATTATTTTGTTGTCTTCTAGGCCCAAACTAAATCAGTCCAGAATTTACAAAACAAGCCCCAAGAATGCCATAGAAAGTCACATCATTATCACCATTGGGGGGGATGAGGAAGAGACACCAAAAATGTGTCATTAGATCTTCTTTGAGGGTGAACAGAAAAGTTACTCTCCATTTTGAGGTGTTCTTTGATAGTATTGAAACAAACACCAGACTTTCCCTAGCAATTGTAAACTTCCCAGCTTTTCAGACTACACTTGACAGGAGAAAATTAGCATATTACCCATAACTAACTGTTTTATATGAAATCTAGTTGGGTTTAGAGAAATAAGAGTAAAGTCTTCAATTTTTCTTTCATTCCCTCCCGTGAATTTTGTCTGAAGCAAACATTTGAATGTTTCAGGATACTTTTATGGCTTCCTTTAAGGAAGCCTTAACACCTCTCTTTCCACATTTAATAGAAAGCAGCATAGGCTTTGTGGGCAGACAATTGCCTACAAAGAGGTGATATTTCAGGGATACAGGGAAGAACTTCTTCCTTCAAAATGGATCCTTCCTGCCCCCATCCTCCACCCCCCAACCCCAGATTCAAATTCCACTGACATTCCCTTTTGCTTCGGGCTTTAATTCCTACTAAAACATGAAGAGAACAGAATTTAAATATTGTCTTGAGAGCAGTTTTTAATTAGGATGGGGGTTGCAGGGACTGGGCACGAAGGGTAGGTGGAGATGGGGAAGCCACCTAGTGGGAAAATAGAAACTACGAAAGAGGAAGGCTGGAGGTACCAAAGATAATTGGCCGGCCAGCCTGAAAGGAGCACTGAAGAAAACAAATTCTGGCCACGATATGGATAAAATACCAGAAGTTCCTTTAGCAGGAGATAACTAGCTTTTTAATCTGCAAAGTAGAGATTTAGAATGCAAATATCCCTGGGAGAAGGAACAAAAGGCCTGAAATTCCCACCACTGTGCAACTGACTGATAGGGTGTGGGTCAAACCCCAGACCAGTTAGTAACCCATAGATGTCAACACTGGGTCAGCAATTTCATTTCTTTGGACACCAGTTTTAATATTGGTAGAATGAAGGGGTCTAGTCCTAGATTATCACTGAAGTCTAGCTCCATATGCAATGCTCCTATGATATCAGATTTCCCAAGAGCACCCCCCCCACCATGCTCTTCACACACTATATTCCAGCCAAAGTGGATTCCTAGTTATCTGCTTCCCAGGACACCCATATACCTGCAGTGCATTGAAATCCTCTTCCTTCAAAACTCAGCTCAAGTGACACCTTCTCTATGAAGTCTTTCCAGATCCTCTCTCCCACAAATGAAAAGGATCTCTCAAGTTTTCCTAGAACATTTTGTCATCATCTTTCCTTTGCCCATCACATGCTACCTTGTTTTAGAATTATTTGTGCTCCTGTTCTAAGTATTTGTGTTCTGCACATAAGAATTTGCGCTCCCCATAAGTAGGTAGCTTCCTTCTGAGGGCTTGCTGAAGGAATTTCTGGCATTTCATCCACAACCTTGTCAGAACTCACTTTTCTCTTGGGGCTCCTTTCCAGCAGGGCTGGGCAACTTTTCCTCTTCACATCCTCAACACATAGCACCCCATACAAGGCTTTGTACACAGTAGGTGCTACTAGTATTGGTTGATTTAAATTGATTAGAGAAGGGGGACTGATAAGTGGAGTATAAATATAGAAGAGGCAGTGTAGAAAGACTGCAGGATTCAAAGCCAAAGGGGGCAGACAATGGAAAGATTTGCCTTTGGAGTTTAAATATCACCTGTGATGCTACCTATAACCTTGCTCAAGTGCTTTTCCTTCCCTGGGGCCTCAGTTTCCTCATCTGCAAAATAAGGGGGTTAGACTGCATGGCTTCTGAGGCTCTAGATCAGGGGTGGGGAAACTGCAGCCTCAAGGCCACATGTGGCCTTCTAGGTCCTTGGATGTGCCTTTTGACTGAGTCCAATTTTACAGAACAAATTCTTTTTTTAAGGGAATTTGTTGTGTGAAGTTTGGATTCTGTCAAAGGGCCACACTTAAAGACCTAGAGGGCCACAGGTTCCCCACTAGATCTATAATTGTCAGTGCAGATAAGGTAGAGGGAAGAATCATGGAGAGACCACTAATAATAACAGCTAGTCTTTTTATATCCCTTTAAGGTTTGCAAAGCATTGTACATATTATCTCATTTGATTCTTAACACATCCCTGGGAGGTACAGGCTGTTATTATCCCCCCCCCCATTTTACAGATGAGGAAACTGAGGCTAAATAGTTAAGTGACTTGTCACATGACAAACAAGTGTCCCAAAGTAAAATTCCAACTCAATCCTAAATCCAGCACTCTTACCCACAGTATATCCTAGTTGTCTCTGGAGGGGTAAAAGGGAGAAGGTGCAGAAAGAAGAGTTTGGGAGGGAGGAAGGGGAAAAGGGGACTGACCTACTTTTCAGTTTTGAACCAGGATTACCCTGGCACTACACAAATCAACTGTACGGTAAGTCTATATTGTCTACTTATAATCAGTTTGGTTAAAAAGAAAATGCTTCCTTTGTAAATCTGTTGTCTTCCACATTTAGGACATTACCTCTTGGTTCCTTCCCTTGTGCTGACCACAATAGTTAGCAGGTCCTGGAGATGTTCCAAGAATAGAAGCATGCAGTAAGGCAGGTACAGTTAGCATACAGCAGATACCTAAGTATTTAAGTGAGATGTCCTACAAGAGCCAAAGAGCAGGGGTTTCATTCAAATCCTCCTTTGCCTCCCCCCTCCCCAGCTGTGAAAATGTATTTTCTTTGTTTACACACACACACACACACACACACACACACACACACAAAACCACAGATGAAGGAAGGACTGTTTTCAAGGTATTCTGCTGCAGAAACAGCCTCCAGCAGTAGGGAATAGGTTGGGGAATTGCTGCAGACACAATCTCCTGTTACTGCCAAGGCTAATACTTAGAAGCTGCTTCCTTCCTTCCACAGCCCCCTGCTACCAGCTAGGGCACACCCTTGGGAGATGGTACAAAAGCCATACTCTGGATGCCTTCTACCAAATGGGGATCATCCATCTCAACACTGAGTAAGTAAAGAGGGGGCCTCACTCTCAAGAAATATGGCTCACTGGACAGTCCGACAGATGTCTCCAAATCAAACCTTTTTCTCAGCCTCTAAAATAGCCTATGAGTTATGATCACCTACCACAAAAATCCTAAGAAAAGCCTATAGAAACTCAATCAGGACTTGTGAATTTTTGTTTGTTTGTTATCCAGAGCCCTTTTTCTTACACGATAAAAAGTACACCAGGAGGGAAAGCTTGATTACATAAAAAGGGATCTTGGTAATGGCCAAAGCAATTAAAAACAATTGAATGAGGGGTGAAAATTTATTCTTGGAACACCCAGAACCACAAGAGGAAGTACAAGTTAAGTTAAAAGGTACCTTAAGTTAAAAGGACATGTTAGGTAACATTAGAAAGCTTTTCTGTATTTAAGCAAAAAGCTAAAACTTGCCAATATGGGTTGGGTTATTATTTTATAACATTATTTTCTCACCCTTACTGACGAGCATCTACAAGACCCTTATCCATCACAGTGTCATAAAAAGCAGACTAGGCAAACAATGGCGACAGCTACACAAAGACAGTTACTGCAGAGATTTGAACTGGCCATTCCTGACTTAAGGGACCCCTGATAAAGGGGCAAGGAGGAACAGGTAGGCTATACGTATCTCTATTTTTGGACTTCCCTGTGGAGATACTGCACATTATCCACCCTTCATTAGAAGAAAAGCCTGTGTTTGGGTTTCCTTTCCTCCAGGGTAGCAGCTCAAAGTAAGTGTGCTCAAAGAGCATTTGAACAATCTAGGGAATCCTAAGAACAACACAGTTCTCAAGGCATGGTTGATGTCAAACACAGAAACACTCAGCTCCAAACCCAAAGCCATCCAGCCCAGCCTGCAGGTGTACACAGTCAAAAAGCAAACAAAAACTCCCTGAAACAACAAACGGTTAACACCCCAGGCTTGTCAAAGCCAATTAGCCTGCCCCTCAACCAAACACCTATCAGGAAAGAAGCTTCATAATTTATCAAGATTAAATGAGAGCCCCTCCCAGTCCGTATGAAGGCCAGAGAACTGATCATCTCTACTTATCACAAAGAAACCACTCTTAACATAAGACCAGCTGCTATGCACATTTCAGAGAAAACACCTTTACCTAAGGCAGAGTTACAGAGCCAAATATAACTTACCTCTCAAGTTCATTACTTCTAATAAGTGCATAAATTATACAATGAAAGTCAATGTATTTTTAACTTACCTGCTGTTTAGCCTACATCAAACACTTACAAAGTAGGAGAGGGACAGTTTTCTACAGAATATTACACTCCCTGATTCTTTAAATTAAAAAAAAAAAAGTCAAATCACCACAAGAGACTGATATTCTGTAATATTTTACTTTATTTATATAGAAATACTTAAAAAATGAAGTAGCACCATTACTTAAGTTTTACCTTTATTATGTAGAACTTTAAATGTCAGAAAAATAAAACTCTTGATACAATTTCAAATCTTGTCTCAGCAAATATAATATTAGTATTTGACCATGAGGTTAAAGGCCCTTTATCATAAAATAAAATATACTTTGTTTTTTAAACTTTGCTCAGTAAAGTACATTTAAGCTCAAGTAACATCACCTACATATACATAAACAAGTGGTAAACAAATGTATTAAAATAGAAATACTAAAACTAGTGGTGCAACAGAATTTTTGTAACTTCCACTGAATTCTATTTATACAAATGTTAGAAAGCGTCAACGGTTCCTTTGACATGTTTAAACATTTCCATTTTTTTGTAATAATATAGAATAAAATATGTCTTATATCACTGAATAGAAAATATGCTGGGTGAAGTAGATTTAAAAGATTTTTCTGAACCTATAAAATCTCCATCCCAACAGAATACTGTTCAAAGCATTACACATTTTATGGTTTGTAATTCTGTCACAATTGTGTGATATTAAAATAATACAGTGTTCTTTGCCATAAGGCCATACTAAAATAAAAAGATTTAACCCAGCTACAAAAAAGTTCACTGAACTTAAATTAAAATACTTGTAAACATCTTTGCAATATGAAATATAATTTTTCAAGTCAAAAAAGAATAAAATACTTCAATCTGTATTAATGCAATTTCTCTTTTAAAACCTTTAAACGTTTTTTTTAATATATATAAGAGATATGTTACAGTTTCTTTAAGTTTAATAAAGCTGCAGTATCATGGTTTCACAGGCATTCCTTGCCTTTCAAGAACATTCCAAAAGTATCCACTGTATTTCTGGAATAAGCATTTCTAGGGGACTCACCAGCAAGAGGGACACACTTACTAAAAGTCCACACATGATATAGGCATTATTGTCATTATTATCATTATTATTATTATTATTATTCATTTTTTCCTACTTTAAAGAAAGAAAAAAACTTTGGGGGATATTCTTTTGGAGGCTTCCTATTTTAAAGTACAGTGTAAAAAATGATTACTAATAGAATGTCCTTGTCCTATTATTTTTATAGCATGCATTTTAGATGGTATAGAGATTTCCCCAGGCTACAGTACACTTGATGCAAATATCCTGGCAAGTCCCTTAAAAAATTTTTTTTAAATTAAAAAAATGTGCAGATACTACAGCTTTAAAAGCTCATCTTAGATCTGGGGAGTGTATAAGGTTGGGAGAGAAAAGAGGGTGTGTTTGCAAGGGCAGAGGAGAGTGTGTGGGTGTGTTTGCCTTTATGAAAATATACGAATGGCCTGAGTAACTGCGGTGTGACAGACTGGGCACTCGGGCTCACTCTTCTCGCAGATGCGGTTGGCACACTCCATGCAGAAGAGGTTGTGCCCGCAGGGCACCAGAGCCGCGATCACCTCGCTCTCAAAGCAGATGGAGCAATCGCGGCTGCCCTTGCGCCGCAGTCCCGAGGAGGAGGACGAGGAGCTGGACGAGGAGCTGGACGAGGAAGACGAGGCAGACGAGTCCGACGGCGGCAGGCCGGGCAGGTGAGCGCCCAGCCCGTTGGCGTAGGCGGGGTACCCCAGGCCCCCGCCGCCGGGGTCGCTGCGCACCCGGCGCGCCAGATGGTGCTCGCCCCCCACGCCGTGCAGGGGCGGGGACAGGCGGGGGCAACTGACGCCGGGGTGCAGCCGGCGGTGCACCAGCAGCCCCAGGTTGGCATTGGGGGACGCGCCCCCGCCGCCCCCAGGGAAGACCATGGAGGAGGACGAGGCGGACGAGGACGCGGAGGAAGAGGAGCAGGAGGAGGACACCGGAGCCGCTGGGCCCCCGCCGGGGGACCGCTCGAACTGGGACCAGATGAGTTGGGCCCCAGGCGGAGGGGCAGGCGCCGGATCGAAGCCTGGCAGCTCCGCGCAGCAGTCCGGGGACGGGGCCGCCTCGCCTCCGGGGTACGCGTAGCCGTTGCCGTTGTTATTGTTCCCGTTGTGGGCGAAGCTGAGCGCGGGGCTGGGTGGGCTGTAGTCCGTCAGGCGCGGGGTGGCCGCGGCGCTGGTGCTGCCGCCGGTCCCCCCGCCAAAGTAAGAGTCCGTGGAGGCGCTGCCCAGCGAGCTGGAGCTGTCGTTGCGGTAACTGGAGAAGGGCTTGCGGCCCGGGGTGGGCGTGATGCTGGGGGTAGGCTTGCTCCAGAGGCTGCCGGGGCCGGGCCCGCCGCCCCCATGGTGCAGGTCAAAGCCCACGTCGGTTCCATTGGCGTGGAAGTCGTTCTCGTCGGTGAGTTCGATGATGCCCCCGGTGCGCAGGGCGATGTGCGCCTCGATCTCCTCCCGAGCACGGTCCACGTTCTCGGGCATGCCAGTCACCTCGAACACCGGCTCCTTGTCCCGGCTGGGCGTGACGATGTAGGTGTGTGTCTGCTGCTGGATCCGCTTGATGGTGGCCCCCTTGGGTCCCACCACCAGCCCCACCACGCGGTAGGGCACCCGCACCTGGATGGTGGTCTGGCCAGGCAGGTTGGGCGGCCCGGGCACCGTGCCATTGAGAGCGGTGTTTTTATTCCGGGAGGCGCGGATCATGGAGAAATGCTCCGCGGCCGAGATGATCTCCCTCCGGGCCATAGCTACGTCCTCCTTCCTGCCAGTCACAACAAAGACAGGCTCCTCCCCGCGAACCGGGGTCTTGATGTAAGTGTTGGTCTTAGCCCGTAGCGCTTTGATTTTACAACCTGGGAGCCGGGATGTAGGGAAAGAGAGAAAGAAACACACCGATTATCCGGGCATAACCGCGGAGGTGGGGGGGGCAGCGGCTGCAGACCCGGGAAGCGGGGCGGGATGGGGGGCGACTTGGCGTTTCCTCCCTCATGCATACACTCTGGAGCGGGGGCACTCGCAGGGAGGACGGGTTTGCTTGGAGCTCGAGGAAAAGCCCCATCCGATCCCCAGCCCTTCGAGAAGACGGCAGTTGCCATGGGCTCAAAAGCAAAATCGTATACAAGTCAGCTGGGGGAAAAAATGCTGATCAACACTTAGTGCCCAACACATTCCTTCAGAGCAAATCAGTTGGAGGGGGAAAGGAGAGTGGCTGAGAGAAGATCGCTCCCTCCCAATGCGGATGGTCTTGATTCCCGGGCCCATTGTTCCTCTTCTATGCTCCATTTCGGTTTCTAGAAATTCTGACTTCTCTTCCTCTCCCAGATTCTCCCCCTCCCCCCACACTCTTAAAAAGGAGGGACCACATTTTCCCCCTGAATGCATTTCCCATTAAATTAAATTTCCCGGGGCGAAGGAGGGGAAAGGTGGGCGAGATGGGGCTGTGATTTTAGTAGGTGAAAGTGCATCTTGGCATTGGTGCAGCAAGGCTCCGGGAAAACCCACATCTGCACTTTCTTTGTCTGGGGGGACTGCCCATAATAGCATCACTAGTTCACTTCAGCTTTCAGTGTCGCATATCTCACACACTCACACACACACAGACACACACACACATCATACCACACATGTCCACCCAGCATGAAGAGCACCCCCCTTTTAATTCCTTCCACTCTCTGCCTCTTTCGCCCACCCAACTTCCTCCAAATACCCACCTTGCCTTCCCACTATCTCCGCGACGTGTTCCGAGCTGGGCACCGGCACGCATTCAGTCATGTTCACGCTCTTCTTCCGGGGCTCAGTGTCGTACAGGGAGCCGGTCTCGTCATTGTCCAGCCCCAAGAGCGAGAGCTGATCCAGCGCGATCTGCAAGGCTCTCTGGTCATCCAGGGTTTCTCCACCTCCGCCGCCGCCGCCACCGCCGCCGCCGCCGCCGCCGCCGCCTCCTCCGCCACCACCGCCGCCACCGCCGCCACCGCCGCTCCCGTTCCTCTCCAGGTCTGCAAAGAGCGAACTGGGCATAGTTCCCCTGTGTGTGCTGCACCCTCCTCCTCCTCCTCCTCCTCCTCCTCCTGCACTCGGTTCAGTAGTAAAAGATCAGACACAAAGAAAAACCCAAGGCAGATGGCCAGGAGGAGAGAGGAGGGAGGGCGGCTGCTTAGAGATGGCTCAGCTGCCGTTTTTTGCTTTTATTATCTATTCTTTCAGTGCAATCCGGCTTATAAAATGCTTGCAGAATCCCCCCACCTGATTCCCCACCCCAAATTTTCTGGAGGGGTGGGGTGGGGATAATAATGGAGAAGATGAGATTTCCCCCGGAGTTCCTGCCTGGCCACAATGCCAAGCGATGGTAGCGTTTCTTTAAGGAACCCCTCCCCGGCTCCACTCACTCACTCAGCGTTTTTTCCTCTTCTCCCCTCCTCTAGTCTGAGCCACTGCAGCCAGACGGCACTAGAGGGGGATAAGGGAACCGCAACGTCACGGGCAGGAGCTGACACTACAATGCTACTGACACTATCGCTGTGTGAGGCGATTGGACAGGCGGGAAGCGGAGAGGGCGGGAGGAGGATGTCTTAACAGTCTCCCTTCCTCGCCCCCCTCCCCCCCGCCCTCGTCCTCCCTTCCTTCTCCCCTCCCTTCCCTCCCCCTCCCCCCTCCCCCCTCAGCCGCAAACGCCTCTCTTTGTTGTCTAATGCAGAACAATAAAGACTCGAGACACTTGTTTGTATCTTATCAACCAGGGATAAATCATTGTTTCCGTATGTCCCCTCGCTGTTCCTTATTTTAAAGGGGGAAACATGCTGAACTTTTTTTTTTTTGTAATTGTATAAGGGGTCCGAGTCTAATGGACCGTCTCCCATAAACTACTTTTTCCTGCTCCTCGTAAATCACTTTCAAAGCGGAAAGGTGCGTCTTGGAGGAAGGCCTATTGTCTGTCCAACCCGGCGTTACGCTCCTCACAGAAGCCTTGACAAAGAAAACTTGAGTGGGGGCAGCCTTATTCTGGCCAAGTGTTAAAAGATGAAAGAAAACGGGTAATCGGAAACGCCGCCTGGAAAGCTGCCTACCTTCACAAAAAAATGCACATGACAATAGAAGAAGCTTGAAACGGAACTCGCGCCCGCCCACGAACACGCGCGCGCACACACACACGCACACACAACCCGCAACGGTGATCACTATTTCATTTCAACCCATTTTGATTCGGTTTCGACAGAACCGGGCGTGCACTTAAAGGCAGAAAGAGCACCTGCCTGCCCTAGGGATAATGATCAGTTTCTGAAACTGATCGGTTTCATTCCGGACTCCCGCGGAACAGACCATCGCCCAGTTTGCACAGACAAATGCAAAGCTGCCCTAGTGCAATTCGGGTGAATGGGGCATGCGCGCCGGGTCGCCCGGAGCAAGCGAGGCATGCGCGGTGTGCCGCCCCCCTGGGTTTAAGTAGAAGGAGGAGGGCTGTCACTTTAAGACTAGGGCTGCATACTCGGAAAGAAGGCTGGACTCGGGAGCCGTCCTCAGCCGCCCCAGGCTCCTCCCCGGCGGGAGCAGCAACTCGGCTCTCTGGAGTGTGCGTGCGCCCGCCCGCCCCTAGTCCGCAGCTAAAAGCCGCGTCCTCTCAGGGCAGAGCTTGTGTGCTCGGTCTTTGTGCTGTCTGCGGCATTGAGGATGGGGATGGGGAGATGGATGGATGTCCAGGCTGGCCGCCCGCGTGGACGCACTCAGGGCCTGGTGGGGTGTGCAGCCCTCTTCCTCTGAAGAGACACTGGAGGCCTTCCCGGGAGGTGGGGGACCTGGGTTCCCGGTGTGAACTTGGGGCGGGGCGAAGGAGGACGCGTGTCCTCGCCGGGATTTTAGGAGAGAAAAAGAGAAGGAAGGAGCCAACCCTTTCGAGGCTAGAAAGCTGTACCCATCCCTGATCCAGATGCTGGACTCCCGGGAGTCCACAAAACCTGCCAGCCCCCAAGCAACAGCGGCCGGAGTAAGGGTGAGAGGGAGGGCAGGCGGGGAGTCCAGTGGTGCCCGCCTCCCTTGCTCTGTCCCTCCCTCAGTCTGTCCTTCCATCCCTCCCGCCCCCTGACAGCCTTCCACGGGGCCGTGGCTGGGGCAGGCTGGGAAGGAAGGCGTGACCGCTTAGGGGTCTGGACCGCTTTCCTGGGGCGGTTGGAAGAGGACTTGCAGACCCATTGGCTGGGGGAGGGCGAGGGAGGAGAGACGCGAACTCTCAAGTAGCCTCGTGTCACTCTCACGCGGGCGGGAACTCGGACGTCTCCCTCCCCCACTCGAGTCGTCTCTGGCTTCTGACCTGGGAGCCAGACGTCCGTTTCCACACACGCGCTTTTCTCCATTTCTCTCTCCCTTTGTTCAGTCCTTCGCTGTTTAATATCCTGGCTCCTTTCCTCCCACCGGGGTCAGCCTCTCACTTCACAATTGCCTCACCGCCTCCAGGGTTCAGACTTTTTCTTTCTGAAACGAGCCATCTTTCAGTGCCGTGATATGACAAGGGTTTTAGATATCTCCAGAATTCGCAAGCGCAATGAAATGTACAAAGCGATCCACTAGCAGCTAGGTATATTAGTGGCAGTAGAGATGATAATCATAGGAATGAGAATTGTTACTTTCTCTGACGGTTCTCCTGGAGTGATAAAGTGCTTAATTTCTATTCAGCACTTTCATCACGCCGGGTAGAGATAGGATCTCGAAGGGAAGTCCACTCGAGAGCGGATTTAAAGGGTAGGGTGCTGATAATGCCCCCGAGGGAATTAAGTGTAACAAGTCACAGGTAATTATTTCTCTTTGCCATTTCCTCAGGATGTTTACATCTGTTTCAATGGGCTCTTTTTGTTTGTTTGTTTTTCTCGGAAGGGGCTGCTTGCAGGCCCTGGGCTCTTAGAAAAATGTTACCTAAACCTCAGTTTAAACCACAGCCAAAAAAAATCTTCTAGGGAAACGTTTATCCCTTTGCCCCACCTTAGAGAAAAGAATCCAAATGTTGTAGAAAACTGATTATCAGCTTGAGGGAATGAGGCCAAGGCAGTTATCTCTAGGCTCCTGCTGAGATGAATGGGTTCTGACTGCCCAATGTAAGGTTCTGGCAGGATAGTATAAAGATGTCATTACTAGTGTTACTCCTGGGCTGTAAAAGACAATATGCAACAGCGACAACAGAAGTGTGTTGGCAGAGAGAAATTTAAAAAGTTTTTCAAATATGAATTTTTTAAAGATTTGCAGCGTTATTCCCTGGAAACAAATAATGTACCAGATTGTATTAGGAAGTGCTTGGTTGCTGAATGGATCCTGTTTGATCACTTTTTCATATTCATACACACTTATTTTTTAATCTTCAAGGTGAAAAGGTTTTACCTAGATTTACACAAAGGTAAGCAAATTCACTTAAATGCTCTGGGCCTCAGTTTACTCATCTGTCAAAAGAAGGGATTGGCCTCTGTGGTTGCTTCCAACTCTAAATCTATTATTCTATGTGAATTCAAGATAAAGAGGGTAAGGAGTCTTTCCATCGGGGAGAGTCAAGGAGTCCTTTTACCAGCTTCTCACGCCTGAATTTAAAGGGCAGGGTGGAAAAGCTAGGAATAACCCCTTCCTTCCAGACCACAGTAATCAAATATCAGGGATGTTAGTTCTGGCTAATCCTGAAGAATCCTAGATATAAAAAGTTGAGAATCCTATACCTAAAAGAGTACCACTAATGGTTCTAGGAGAGTTAAGTGTACAACTGAAATTGCGTATGACTGCAACTAGGGAGGAAATGGCATGGGGCCAGAGAAGGGGAGCAGTGAGGAGAGAGGGGAAAAAAAACAAAGGAGGAAGGAAGAGCAGGAGACAATGAGAGATGTGGGTCAATGAGTGACATTAAGGGGACCATATTATCAGAAAGACAGAAAGTTGCAATTTCCGAAACTGCTTTCTTCACTCTAAACATTATCAAATTAGACGATATATGTGGGAACACTTGGTAAACAGTAAAGCAGTCTTTAAGAGTGCCTTAGACTTGCCCAGCCCCCAAAATCTTCATTAAAACAACTCTCCAGAGAAATTTTGCCTTGGGCATCTCAATTCTCTCAATACCCCTGTCCCCTAGGAAATTGACATGGACACTATGACACCTAATGATTTTGGGTATGGTTGTCCATTGGTCTGGGCCTCATCTAATCTTGTGAATATTCAGTAGGTGCTTTCATGTCTGAAATACCAGTGTCAAAGATACTATCTGGCCTAATTCTGTATAAACCAACTCCTTTAGCAAACTATAAATTTGTCCCAGTTGCTCAATTCTATTTAATTAATACGTGTTTATTGAATTACGTTGATGCTCATTAGTTTCGTTATATTTTCCCTTTTTCTTAATATAAAAGGTGATGATACACCATACCTCATTAGTTCAGGTGCTATCCTTACCAGATTCTGCAGGACTCTGGAGATAAGACTTCTGGTTACAAACACACATACATACATACAGTTTTCCAAATGTGAAGTTTTAGATGTGATGCAGTATTTCAGTTAACGTATAATCTCAAGGAAAAATTAATTTTTTCACAAAAGGAAATAGATCCACTGAAGAGAATAATAATGATACTTTGTGTAGTTTGTATTCCTGAGGAGCTCTGTTTTACAAACATTCTACTTGTTTTTGCTTTTAAATCTCCACAAATCTCTTCAAAGCAGGTAGCAGAGAGCCTCACTTTGTAAACAGAAGGATAACCACAATTTACTCATCTCTTCAAGGTAAATTATAATGTGTGGATTTCTAGACTACACAACTAATATCATAAACTGGGATAACAATTTTAAGTAGTTATATTATTCAAAGAGGAGGCAAAAGGTATCACTACCAGGCTTTTCCCTATGCCTGAAATGTCTTCTTCTCTCTTCCTTCCCCTCCTTTCTACCATTCCCCTTCAATTTCTACTAATTCTTTTAAAGGGATAGGAATTGGACCTGTGATTTCATCAATCTGGAGAACTCCTATAAGTAAAGAAACTGCTTCTGCCAATGTAGGTCAA